ACTGATTGAAGGCAAGAATCGGGATAAGATTGATGGGTGATTCCACTGAATTGTGAAAGTAGGGATGGGAGGTGGACCGCCAGTGGGGGAAGAAACACGCAGTCAGTATATTCAACATAAAATGACATACAGTGCGTTTCAAAAGTATAAAGCCACCCTTGAATGAAGCTGTTCCAAGTTAGAATGAAGGTTCCGTGATTTGATGAATAGTTTATCGAATTCAGCACGCTCTGAAACTATAGTAAACTTTGTTGTACAAACCACTATAAGCTAGAAACGGTTCCATAAGAAAATTTGAAAAACTCCCCTGTTTCAAAAGTATAAAGCCACCCCGGGCGAGTAGGCAACAGCGGTAAAAATTTTTGTTCCTGTTAACTCATTTGGAGTTCTTTGGCCATAATTAGCACAAACACATTACGTCTTCAATATATCTCGTGGATCTACGTTTTCTTTGGAAGAGCAAGTTCGTGCGAGGACGTTACATCGAGCTGCCCATTCAAATCGCTCCATTGCTGCTCAACTTGGACGTTCTCAAAGCTGTATCGACATTTCTTTTGAGGAATCCAGCTTATCATGAAAGGAAAGATCCCTGAAAGGTCACGTGTTCTGCTTGAGTATTATATATTAAACGATCCCTTTCCAATTCTACTGCGACCATCAGTCAGATCCGATACGAGCTCTCCCTTTTTGCTTCGAAAAGTTCCATCTGGAGGGTCGCTAACTCTGCTCCAAATATCGTGCGACAATCCATGATGAAGACTCCACGTCCGGAACAGCATCACAAAGCACCTCGTCTCGAACTCGCCCGGAGGAACATGCGAACGAGTTGGGGTTCGGTAGGTGATTCTACGGGGGTAGGGAGACACTTTCATCATGACGTTTAGTTAATGGCTTGTAGTGTTCAGTTCATTTTCTGTGGTTGAAAGAACTTCAACTTAGACGGGCCGGATGGTCATCACAGATTCTGGAGAGATTTTAGCAAAGATCCGCTGGTATTTAGCAGGAGAGACTTCGGTGGTGGCGCATAGATGGTCTGAGCTGCATTCTACAGCGATGCTGTGCTCCCTCTGTCTTTCGTCTCGTGTCAAATGGACCCCAGTGAGAATCAGGATGCTTTTCTTTTATCCTCCCAGACAAGTCTGGTACCAATTAACCGACCCCGGAGGGATGGAAGGCTTGGTTGGCCCGGGCGACTCACGACCCAGGATTTGATCCCCGGACCGCTCGCGTGGTAAGCGTGCCACTTGCCACTACACCACTTCCGCCCTCAATGAATTTGAAATATCTATACTTTTTTCAAGCCCCGTTCGAGCATAAGGTTGGTATCTATTGCGTGAATTAGAAAACACCCTCTTAGTATCTGATGCAAATTTGGAGGAGACTCAGTCATTTTTAGAAGTGGAAACCTCGAAAACCCCTCACCACTTGATTTTTGGCCGCGACTGCATGTATTGTCATCGAATAGTGGCAGTACTTGATACTGGTAGAAAAAAGCCGAAATGTGCAAAGATAGATGGGGCATGGGATTGGGTTGTCGCTGTGATGCATCCGTCAGTTCCTATTCTAACGAAGAAAGGTGTGTTTGGTGTGTGTCCGAGAAAAGCGGCGGAAAGTGATATCATCGGCTAACGGTGCGGCCTCGTGTGACGGTGACGGTAGGCTTATGAAAACGTCGCACCCACGGACCTCGTAAAAAGGCGGACTTACGCGAGACAAACCGGAAGAGACAGGTGGCCGAGCGCGGACTGTTGCGTTTCATTACGTTGGAAACATGGCTTGCGCTAACGATATAGCAATCGATCAAGGCTTTTGAAACCTGTACTTAGCACTGAATGTTTCCCGTACTCGGCGAACCACTAAAGGAACCTGATGAAGAAATATGAACTGCCTCTTCACAGAGATGACCACACAACACCGGCTGCATGATCGCTGTGTTGCTCAAAAGAGACCTTAACACCTGAGTAACCGGATATTTACAAACCTTATTGAAGAGAGTAGAATAAACTAATAAGTTGTTGACCTGTCTGCACCAAAGAGTAGATGGGAGCAAGTGTTTGGCTGAAGTGAAGCCTTTAAGGATGCGCCACACCATCACCTTCTTTCTGAGTTACTCAAGCATTCGAATGCATATTCGCTCTGTGCAACCTATTACGACGTCAAGAGATGTTTGGATGTTTGGGGATCTTTTGCAAGCAGGAAGGGTACTAAGCTAAAGAACCGTTTACTGTCACAACGATGATCCAGTCATCAGTGAACGCCGGATATCTGACCGCCTTGAAGGAATTTAACATGCCCGCATTCGTCGCACCTAAAATGCTGAACTAAAAAACCAAACAGCTTCTATGACCAGCAACTCTGGTCAGCACGACATCACGGCTAGGTCGACGTATCTGATTCATAGAAGCTAACACTTGAGTTTCTAATCTGCTTATTCTGCGCTTAGGGTCTGGTGAACGGAGGGCCTCGAAGACGACGAACTAGGTCGACTGCGGCTGCAATAGAATCTACTGTCACACAAGCATTGCAGCAGAGCGCAATTCATATCCCTTCCCCTTATTGAGAGCTCCTTATTTTGGAAAGAGTAGTTTTTTCTTCGGTGCTCCTTTTTTACGCTCCTAAAAATTTTCCCTAATATCGCATTGCGAGTTTGCTTCGGGAACAAGTTGGGTGTCGCGCAGCCATCAGTGGGGAACACTCTCATGGCAGCTCAAGCTCTCGCACGACTGACATCCTTCAGGAAGGGCTCGCCAGATTGGGGTGGACTGTTTCGCAGAAAACCTCTGGGAGGTTTTGGGCCAGACGAAAATCGCTCAATCTCATTTTTTACAAAAAAATTGAATGCCGAATCTTTGAGAAAGGCGAACGTGGAGAATGCTTCGGCGATGTTTTTGTGAATTTAATTATATTGGCTCTGAAGTGAATCCGAAAGTTTCAGCATCGATAATGTGCAGTAATTACTTGGCATGCCCTTTTAACCCGCGGCTGTCCGCTGGCCAACTTGGGTTATAATGGTTGGTTTATGGCCTGAAACTAAATTTCTGGAATTGTGCGCATGTAAATATCCAAACAAGTTCTGTTTGAACCGAGAACTAAAAATCGGCAGCAACAGATGTGGAATATTCCAGAAGATTTTTAGCAGTAGCTGGATAGTAGCCTTTGGCCAAGGGTAACTGACCGCAAGGTAGAGGTGTAGACGTTCCCCAACCGATGGTAGCACTCTGTATCTTAAGAACAAATTCAAATAAATATCTTTTATTGCAAAGTCTCTCTGTAAAGCTGAGGCTATGTAGGAAGTGTTCGTGAGTGGCAGTTCATTCCTTCTTCGTTTTGTCGGCTTTCTTGGCTTCAGCAGCTCGACGTTGAGAACGGCGGATCTGCTTGTTGCGTTGGATGCGTCTGATCAGACGAGCACGGGCTTGAGCACGAGCACGGCGAGTCTTCGCCTGACGCTTGTTCACTGCTCGTCGTTTTTGAGCATTGTGAGCCTTGCGGGCCTTACGAGCATTACGAGCCTTACGAGCTTTCAGTGCTTTCCCAGCCTGAGAAAAAGGAACTGATTAGAACGAAGGAATGCAATTTCTTTGCAACATGTAGCAACAAACCTTAGCGCTATCTTCAGCCTTAGGAGCAGCCCGTTCGGACGGAGGCTTTCTTTGAATTGCTTCACTTGTTCGTTAATGAATTTCGCCTCTATCTACAAGAGAATAAACGCAATATGGAATAATAATCAAGTTTTCCGGAAAATCGACCCATATTTATGCACTGGAGCTACTTATATCGCGTTCGTCGGTGTTGGTGACGGTTTGCAACTCCTTCTTGGCCTGCTCTCTCAGCGACCTGATCTTTGTTAACACAGCTTCTGAACCTTCGCTTAATTTTGTCTGAAAAGTCAATTTTTTGATTTTCTGCACATGACCACAAGGGCAAGAAAGGATAAATGGAAAAAGGATTTTCTCTGTGTGTATTGTTCAGGAAGATGCTCGATGAAACACTGGATCGAATGCGCTCTTGCTGCGCTATTGCATGTCCTTTTAATAGAAAGCAGACTTTGTATCGCGCTTACTATCGTGCCATCCGGGATCGAAATCCTGCTGCTGCCTTCGCCCGGGCCAACCAAACCTTCCACGCCGGAGTCGGTTAATGGTACCAGACTTGTCTGGGAGGATAAAAACACTGACTTGTACATCGGCTGGCCCCGCAAGTCATTGTATAGGCCACATCGCATTCAAACGCCACTACGAATGTACAAATGGAAGTAGAATGCGTGCCGCATCCCAAAAAGGGATTGATCGGCAAATGCTTTTAATGCTTTTTTAATCTGTATCGCGCCCTGTACCTGCGTCTTTGAGCGAGTCAAATAGGCCCGTACTGGGTTACACATGAACGTAACATTTATGCAAATTTGCGTATGGAAGTGCTGCGCTTTAGCCTTGCTATAGAACTGTAAGGCGAGTGTGAGGAATTCTAGACTTCTTAATCTAATTATCTAGCCAGTTGCGCAAGTTGGGAAGATCAACACTTGAAAAAAAACTCTTTCGTTTGCTCACTCCCCTCTTCCTACATCTCCGCCTTATCGGTGTACTAATGTCGTAATCAGCTGGAAGAAGCAGGTACTCCCTTGGCAGTTCACACTTCGCCACTCAACAAATCGAAACAGCGAGCTCAGCGCGTTAAACTCTCCCATCGCTTTTTCTACTTACAGCCTGTTTTAAAGTAAAGCCCACTTGCGTCAAGAGGCATAATATTTCTAAGCAGAATGCAGTCTCTCAGTGTTATCCATTCTCGTAAATTATTGCAGTGTCTAAAGCCTACCTCCTCCTCGGCCGACGAGAGCCCGACCAGTGTGGCGATCACGACTGTTGCGAATAGCACAGTGAGTTGCATCTGAAAGTGGAAATTTTCAATAAGGAGCCTTCCCAATCAAAGATCACGATGGAAGCGGCAGTTGAAGTCGCCTTGAAGCCTTTTCGAGCCGATGAGTTTAGATTTGAGGGTAACTTGAACGGGCTGAAACTCTGTGGAAAGACGGGAAAATATTCATGTAGTTTTTTGAGGAGGCCTGATGTTGATATAGCTTGAGCTTGAGCTTGTAAAAAGCACTCCACGGCAGAGTAAGGCTAAGAAAGTCAAGTCGAAGTCAGTGAAGATGACGAGAGAATGAACCAGCTTGAGTTTACCGTCGCCGTTGATGGATCTCGACGTCGAGTAGATCCATTAGGCTAGAACTCTTTTATTCTTGACACTTCTTAAGTACACCCAAGAAACTGCCGCACGTTGTACCGAAAATGCTACGGACACAAAGCCAGCGGTGCTTGGCGACCGCCTTTGGAGATCCGCTTGCCGAAAAACCCGTACCTGCATGTTAGCGATGCGATCACGGACTAACCATATATAAAAGCCGCCTTTTATCGGCTAATTTCACATCCTCTAGCTAGCTTGATCGGCTTCGATTTTCAAGTTCTCGAAAGAAACACATGACTAGCTCGCACTTATGGATAGTTTACTCTCTTTTATTAGTTGTAAAAGAACCATGGAAAATTTCTGTTTGCTTTTGCACTTAAGCTTTAGAATTAGCCCGATTTAGGGCATTTTTCAAGCATTTGAAAGGCCTCTTCACTTGAATTATTTCAGAAAAACCTCGCTTTATTCATTTCGCCTGTAGTGTCTTGTCATGAAACTCAACGGTCCCGCCAACTAGCTCATAACTCAATCAATACCTATCTTTCCAATTATGAACTTTTCCCCACATAAATGTTCACAAGCTCTACTTTCTGCTCTGAATTTCATCTGTTCAATTATCTACGAAAATAGAATTCGAATTCAATTTAAAAAATTTCCCGTTTCAGATGCGGCTTCTCCTTCTCACCTTAGGACTCTTTGTCCTCTACGTGGCCGCTGAAGTCCAGGTAAGAGCCTGAAATCCAATCGAGCGCACGGATAGAGCGAAATTTGAAAAAATGGAGGGCGGATGTAAAAAGGAGGGGCAGGCATCTCAACTGAGAAGCCATCCGTTTTCATACGGTATTTCGCAATAAGCCCTCCGCTGTATGGATTACGGTGGGCTTACGTAGGGCATAGTTCCCGAAGGCTCAACTTTCGAATAACTACTGTATTACTGAATGAATGAACCTTTGGATGTGTTCTTACATTCAAATGATAAGCTGTTTTTAAGCTCGAGAACAACGAGGATGCAGCCATCACTGAATTGCAAGTTGACGATGACAAAGACCTGGTTAGTTTTAGTTTTGTGCTGGCCAGGAAAGAGCAGTTATTGCTCTGAGTTAGTACTCGAAATGTCCGGAAGACTAAATAAACTAACTGTTCATTTTGCAGACCATCACCGATGAAGGATCTGCTTTGGAGCGAACCAAACGAGGCGTTGATCTCTTCGGTCTTCTTAAACCGAAAACCAATAAGAAGAGCAAGGTACGTTGTTGAGGACGGGAACCCTTGGGTAACAAACCTAGGGTAACGGAAAGGGGACTGAGAAGTGCTCAGAAACTGTGCGCGCAATGCCACGAAGCACTCTATTAAATTGTCAGGTAGAGCAGTTGAAGCCTAGACGCAACACAATCGTCTCGGGCCGTCAAACGGCCGTGCCCACCGTCTCCGCCCACAGACGCAACCAGAAGCGAGCAGCTCGTCGTCGTGCAGCCGTCCGCAGACGTTTCTCCAAAGGCCTCCGCCGCAGCACCGCCAAACGACGCAGACACGCACTGCGGGCTCACAGAGCTCGTGGACGCAAACTTCGCAAGGTTCGCAGAACCCGCAAGCTCCGTAAGCTCCGCAAGGCCGCAAGGGTTCGCAGAGCCCGCAAGCTCCGTAAGCCACTGCCGCAAATTCCCGCAAAGCTCGCAAGGCTCGCAAATCACGCAAGGCCAAGTCCGCCAAGACTGCCAAGACTGCCAAGACTGCCAAGACTGCCAAGACTGACAAGACCGCCAAGAAGACCGACGCTCCAGCAAAGAAGCCAGCAGCCAACACTGCTGCCCCTACCGCTACTGCCGCCTAATTTATTCGCCCATAATTGATCGATAAATATTGTTTGCTCAAAGATCACTTCTAATTGTGTTGGTGTGTTTCTTCGAAAATCGAAGACCTACCGTATTACAGACTCTAACGGAACTTGAGAAGAGAGGTAAAATATTTTCAACCCGCACCACAACAATCCTCGAACTGGAGCCTTTCGATGTCGAGAGCGCGTTTCTATGTAAAAGCCCTGATACAGTTTGCACGGTCTTAAGCAATAGCGCGTACATGCGACTTCGGTGGACTGGAATTCTTCTTGAACATCTTTCTAGCGATTATTTTGAAACCGGTTGCTCACCTACCCTGATCTGGTGCGGCTCGGGAAAGCTCTCATTCTCAACAGTAACAGCGCATACGTTGCAAATCTGCTAGCCTTTTAAAGGGTAACCTGGAGGCATTCCTGTGGTGTTCACTGGAGCATGAAAACACTAAGTATTTAAGTTTTATGGCAATCGGCTCCTAGATAGGGCGATGGAAAGTAGGTGACGTCAGCAAAAGCGCCGCCATAGCGGAAAAATACGTGATAAATTAAAATATAATGTTGTGGTTAACTGTCTCATTGTCTGATCGTGTTCTAATGATGCACTCGAGGCCAATTGCTAATCTATTCTCAGGAACAATAATGAAGTATGAATCCGCTGGCCAAAACAAATCCATCACACCATCTCTGGAATGCGCCACGCATTCCACCGGAGCTCCACAAGGCATATCCCATTTGAAGGCGATTCGGCTCCTGCATCGAGTTTCTTGGATTCGATGTACAAGCCAATCGTACAGCCTCCAAGTCGGCCTAATACTAATGAACTGGCTCTGTAGTCGGACGGTTATTTGGCACGGACGAAGAGAAGTTATCCTCCACGTGGCGCAATAGGTAAATATCTCCATACCATCGCAATCAGGCTCGTATAACTTCGTATGCAGAATGCTATACGTTGCTTATTTCTTTGTTAAAGCAACAGTTCAGGAACGGTTTCGCGGGAAAAAACCACCAATAATGAAGTTGTAGATGAAAACCAGACGATTAATGTATGAAAAACTGGAAAAAAACGTCGGGGAGGGTCTTAGACAGGTACTCTCCCTCTGCCGCTCAGCAATGGATAAAGACGCACGTTGGACGAGTTGTCTGAACGTGCCCGCTGTAAACGCGCTCCATTTTTCAATCAATTTTCCCTGTGGTCCCAAAACGAGCACGATTGCCGACGCGTCCAATGACGGCCGGCAAGGGGGCGGGATTGGGGAAATCCCCAAGAACACCCATGTTTGAGGGACTTTCCACCCTGTTTTTGAGTTTCTGAGGTAAGTTCGTTTATTATTTCCACTGCATATGTTCTTCACTAGGGCTCGTGTATCCCTCAGTAGTAGTGGCATTGAAATTTTCGGACCCTCCCTGAACTGTTGCTTAGCGGAATGTGCAACTAGGTCCAGTCTGCAACGTGGTCTTCTTAGCCTAACTCCCTTTTTGATCGCGGCACCTGAGTGAGTTCATTGAGGCTGTTTGAATGTGATTCATTGGCCGTAACCATTTAGCAACAACCGGACCGAAATGTGCTGAATAACTTGATCATACACAAGTTCTGAGAAGACTGAAAATTTATCCGACAGACGGAACTCGATTCAAGGTCTGTGAAATCGCGATGTTGGGTTTTTACGCAAAAAATAAAAATAACTAAAAACAATAACTTGAATGCAATGAATGGAGGGAGGGTGAGCTCAATTCAGTACACGAAAGCGTGAACGCGATTTCACAATCGAATCAACCTGGCAGCCTTCATCCGATCTGAAACGGAAATCAGGCACGAAAAAACCAAGTGGGTCCGTGAGCCCAAACAGAGTACCGGTCACGACAGGAACAAAAAGTAGCTACCAAGAAATTAACTTTTTTATTGCATTATACCCGGGGCATGCCTCTGAAGGGCGGCAGGGACTTCTGGGAAAAGAAATTGCTCTCCTCTCTTTTTTCCTTCTTCGGCCTAGGGTTCGTCGCTCATTTTTCACCAACAATGAATATGTGTCACGTAGTTTGAAACGCGTTGCCCCACTGATGCCCTCGCATCTTGCGATAGCGCCCCTGTTTCACAATATCAATCTTAGCTCCTCGCAGTCGTCGAGGAACGCATTTAAATTTCACTAGGTTAAGATTTCAACCCGGGCTTAATATGTATGCGAACTGTTCGAGTGCTACAAATGAGTGCTTTGTAAAATGCGAAAAATTCTGCACGTTCTTCCACTGTGACGGCCGTGATCGACGACTTTGAAGACTACGAAGGCGACCAAGGAGTAAAATTTGGGCCCAAATTTCAAAAAAAAACACCATAATGCAAGCAATAACACTAATTATTAGATTAGTCACGAGTAAGATGGCAGAGTTTCCGGTACGAAGGGACAATTTGGCACGGAAGGTGAATACGTAGAAAAGCAAAAGCAGTCAGTTCCAGAATGAAGAGCAGGAGTCTCCTCTCAGGCAAAATGACTTGATGCTACAGTATGGTTTTGTGACTGCCTTTGGACCTAATGGCGCACACCCACATCGAGAATAGCACTGATGAAGCAATGAGGAGGAAGTGCGTTGCAAAAGGCAGCCATTAATTCATCGGCTAAGCCTATCAGCTCGATGATCTGCGGACTTGAATTCGACTTTTGGAAACGAACAAAGCCCACTTGATCGAACGACCGCGATGTGCACTTGTGAATTTGTTTCTGGAAGCTATCCGAACGACAAGCGAAGTGAACAAAACGTGGCGATAGGACTGGATATCTGAGAAGTTTTCGTGATCTTTTCAAAGAAGTGCTTTTTTTAGTGAAGATTGAAATCGCCACTGGACGACAATCATAAACCGCTTTGGTTGAAGCACTATAAAACCGCAAGAAAACCACTTTTGTGCCCTGTCCGAACACCTCCGCCTGGGCTCTTCTGGCCGCCATCCTGGCCTCGTACATGCCCTGCCGAGTTTTTCTCTACTTATACATAGCTCTCTTTTTCTCGTAATAATGAAAAACCACTTTATTATCTGTCTTCGACATACAGCATCAATGAATAAATGCTGTTCTAATAAATTATGTCCACAAAACATGCATAACACGCACTCCTCCAACAAAAAAAAAAAACCAAAAAGTCGCCATCCCTCTTCTTCTCACTCCTTAACGTGTTAGCTTTCGACAAGTCGCAGGGTCCGCTGTTTTTGTCAGCCGTCGCCACTTTGCTCTGTCCAGGGCATCTTCCATCGTGGCCGCGACCTCACCTAGGTCCTTCTTGATCACGTCTTTCCACCTTTTCTTCGGGGCTCCTCGCGGTCGCTTGCCTTGTACTTCGAAGTCCATCGCTGTTCTTATCGGATGATCCTGTGGCCTCCTTAGCACATGCCCATACCATCGTAGACGCTGTTCCCGTACCTTCAGCTGGACAGGGGCAGTCTGCATGACCGCTCTGACATCTTCGTTTCTAACTCTGTCCAGCCGCGTCCAGCCGCAGGCCCATCTCAGCATCCTCATTTCGGCAGAGTGAAGCTGTCTTTCGTGATTCTTGTTCAAGGCCCAGCACTCGCTGCCGTAGAGCATCGCAGGCCTTACCACTGTCCGGTACACCTTTCCTTTGAGCGCTCTGGAGCACCTTCGATCGCAGAGGATTCCAGTGGACTCCCTCCATTTCATCCATGCAGCGTTGACCCGAGCCTTCACCGCCTGATCCACACTACCGTCGGCTGCCAGATCACTTCCAAGGTATCGGGTCCTCCACCTCTCTCGATGGTCTCACCATGGCTGTCTATGATCGGTTCTGTAACCTCTCCATAGCTCAGGAACTTTCCTTTCTGCCATTTCTGCACCTTGGCTTGAAGTTCCTCTCTGCTATCAGCTATCAAGGCGATGTCGTCAGCATAGAGGATAGTCTTCAGTGGTCCCTCCATGAGCCCCTTCACCAGGACATCTAGTGTTAGGAGGAAGAGGAACGGGCTCAGAGCTGACCCTTGGTGCACCCCGACCGTGATGTCCACCTCCTTCGTTAGGCCGTATGGGGTGCGTATAGCTGCCTTGGCCCCTTCGTACATGTCCCTCACCAGAAGAGATGAGGTGTTCTGGCACGTTTCCATTTCCCTGAGCGACCTCCATAGCACTGCTCGCGGTAGCCGGTCGAACGCCTTTTCCAGGTCGAGGAAGGCTAGGTAGCAAGGCCTGCGCTTTTCGCGATACTTCTCCATCACTTGCCTAGCGATGAAGATGGCATCCGTTGTAGACCTTTCGGGCAACCCTTTCGGGCATAACTCGATATTCTTCCTAGCGAGACCGGGACCAGCTCCCCTTCCGTCGAGGCTCGACTCAGAACGCTCGTACCAACATTCATGGTATGCCAGTGTGGTAACTTGATTCGCGGTCAGATGGAGTTCCAGGTCCAATCTTCGCGTGCATCCGTAAACCCTTCTAGTTGACAGATGGAGCAGTTTGTCGTATTCCCGTCGTGGAATGCGTGGTCGTAGCCAGTCTGATCGCCTCGCCACCGCCTCATCCAAGGGCCTTCGCAATTTCTAATGGGGCACTCTCATACCGGGCCAATACCGCCTTTTCCAATCTTCAATCTTCTCAAGGGCAAATCTGCACGTCCTCTGTCCAGTCTAGAGCGATACGCGGCCAGCTGTGGCCTCAACGTCCTGACTGAACCTTAACCGTGTGGCCGCGTTAGCTAGCAGCGCCCTGCCCCAGGCTTCATGAAGTTTATTCGTCGTCCCATTCAATGTCATATAAAATCTCGGAACTAAGTCTTTGTATATAGTGACTGCGTCACTGTGTTGAGCAGAAGAATTCACACAAGACTTTAATGATCGTTAGGAAATGAGGATTCATATCATTTTATCTATTACTTGGCGTGCGTCCTGCCTGTGTAACGGTTCTTTCCTGAAACTACTGAAAGGTGACTCCAAAAGCAAATTACGATTCTGATCACGGAACTTCAATTCTACAAAGGAAATTTCAAATACATGAGTGGGTACGCTA